GCTGGGACTACAGGCACCCACTATAGTGCCTGGCTATTTTTGTTGCAGTTGCCACTGCTGATTTAGCTGGCTGGGGCCAGGTTCGAACCCATTACCCTTGGTATATGGGGCCGGCACCCTACCCAATGAGCCACAGGCACCACCCAAGTCAATCAGATTTTGGTTAGGAAAACAAACTACACTATTTCAAGCAGGAGGGCATTTAAAATAGTAAATTAGAGGCTTACAAATCCATTGTCAGAGCTGGAGGTGATGGTGGTGGCAGCAAAGCCAGGGAAAGCAGCTGTGAGCTTTCAGAAAATTAAAAGATATGAAAGGTTGGGCTCAGTGGCTCATGTCTATAAGCCTACCACTCTGGGAGGCTGAGGCAGGTGGATTGCTTGAGCTCAGGAGTTTGAAACCAGCCTGAGTAAAAGCAATGCCCTGTCTGGAAGGAAGGAAGGAAGGAAAAGAAAGGAGAAGAGAAGGGGGAGGAAGGGAGAAGAAAGAAAGGGAAGGAAGGGAGGGAGGGAGGAAAGAAGGAAGGAAGCAAAGAAGAAAGGAAGGAAGGGAAAAAAGGAAGGAAGGAAGGAAGGAAGGAAGGAAAGAAAAGGAAAAGAAGAAAGGGAAGGAAGGGAAGGGAAGGAAAGGAGGGAGGGAGGGAAGGAAGGAAAGAAAGAAAGAAGCATTGCACATCAGTTGGGCCTCTGCAAGATCAGGAAATGCGAATTTTAAGAGGAGGCTTCGAGGCTGGTGGTGTACATGACATCTAGGCAATGCAAAGCCCATGCTTTTGCCCACTTGTTAGAATAATTCTGGTCTCTACTACATTTCTGCTTTGTAAATCTGGAGTAGCTGAGCTTCTCATTGCTGGCCAGGATTCAGATTATATGGTTGCCATTATACCAAAGAGAGCATAGACCAAGAGGAAATAGTTCTTTGTTGCTGTCATAAACCCCACTAAACCTTACAAAAAATAGTAGAAACAATTTTCAAAATATTGCTGTTAAATTATCTTACAAATAAAAAGTTTACTGTCTAGAAGTGAATACAAAATACATGCATAAATAAAATTTTGTTTTTATAATTATTTTTATTTTTAGACTACAAAACAATTGGCAAAATAGGAGAGGGAACATTTTCTGAAGTTATGAAGATGCAGAACCTGAGAGATGGAAAGTACTATGCTTGTAAACAAATGAAACAGCACTTTGAAAGGTAGGCAATCAGAGACATATTTAAGACAATACAGATATAAGTTTAAATCAATAAAGCAACTTAATATTAGTGGGAAATTTTTATTCACTTAATAATATGTAAAATAAATCAAATTTCATTAGGCAGTAAGGATTATGCACTAATGTTTATCATACTAGAATTTACTTATGTCCATGTTTACTTTAAAAATCAATAATGGGGCTCAGCACCTGTGGCTCAGGTGGCTAAGGTGCCAGCCACGTACACCCAAGGTGGCGGATTTGAATCTAGCCCGGGCCACCAAACGACAATAACGGCTGCAACCAAAAAATAGCTGGGCGTTGTGGCAGGCGCCTGTGGTCCCAGCTACTTGGGAGGCTGAGGCAGGAGACTTGCTTGAGCC